CATTGGGCTATATAAGCGGAAACTGAGCTTCTTCCTCATGTGACAAAAACCTCATGAAAGTAATAGAGGCGAAGGAGGAAGAAAGAAACCAGTCTCCTTCACTGTTCTGTTCTCCCAATATACTTAATGCCTCACCTACCAGTGAACCCAGACTTGCAGAGCAAGTCCACTAATGTTATTTAGTTATAGGTGTAATTTATTCTTGTTTATTACACTGCTAATTCTGTGAAGGTTATTTTAAGTCAAAGAAATTAATGGACCTGTTAACTAAAAGGAAAAAAAAAAAGGTCTGTTATTTGGCAAAACACTGTACTCATCTTTTTTTCCCCAAGGTGAGTTCTGACGTCACAGCAGAATATACCTCACTGCCTCAGGACTTAGAGTAACTCGTGACATTTTTGAAAACTAAGGCTTAACCATGTGGGTATGTTCTACAGAACACTATATGAGGTAAGAGAGAACCTCTTTCAAATAGTGTATGAGGTTCAAGAACTAAATTGTGTTAATCCCAACTTTGAAGCATTTGATTATTTTGTGCTGATGTAGGTCAGCACATGATACCTCAAGTAGGGAACAAAAGCAGAGGAGGACAATAAATCTGGTGTTGTGGGTAGAGAGAGAAAGTTGCAGATATAGAAATGGGATGACCAAGGATGGTACATGTTAGAATCTCAGTAGGTAAGCTGAAAAGCTGAGGTGAAAAGGATAGTTTTGTGACAATGCAATGTTTAAGGTATGAGTATGTGATTCACTAAGTTCTCCATTTGTTTCAATTTACTGTGCAAGCCAAAGTAAATTACTTAACCTTTCACTCCCTCAGTTCCCATGAGAAAAACAGATGATGATAATTTTCCCCCACTTCTTAAAAGTATGGGAAGGACAAATGCATAAAGTATTGTTTGGAATCGAGCTGGTTGTGCAAATTTGCACGATCCACACATCTGAATGAATATAGGCCAGAAATTACAGAGCACAGGCAGTATTTATTTTTAAGGAGAAACTTCTGGAATTTGCTTTTCTAATAAACTAATACAGTTTTTCTTTCCTGTCCGACTTGGGTTTTCTCAAGAAATACAGGAAAGTCTTAGATTATTTTCCAAAGTGACAAGTAAAATTCTTCTTGTCTTGAATGTCTATTCTTTATATTAATTTTACTCATTTTTCTCCTTCTTAGGAACAGAAACAGTGAGCTCTAATGGAACTACAGTTCATTAATTTTATGTTGAAGATAATGAAAAATAGAAGTTATATAGGCTTTTCCAGGTTCTGTTGGATTAAAAGAATCCATAGAAATTAGTGTTAGAGAAACAGGCAGCAGTTCTCTTGGAATGACAATATCTGTAGCTGCATCCATAGCTACTTTAATGTGTCTGTTTGAATAAAAAGAATGATTGTCAAATATATTATTTACGTGTTTTGCCAGCAGATTTAATTTCAATTATTTTCATACTGTATGCTTCACATGTCTGGAAAGAAATCAGACTTTCAGCAAGTCTTTATCCAGCAAATTGGATAATGGCAGGTGAAGAGTAGGTGATATAACTTGACCTGTGGCTATATTTGGTTATAAAAATTTCTAAAATGCCAAGTAAGGTGGAATTACTCTGCAAACAAAGGAAATAAATACTGGGGTTGGCACGAGTTCTTTGGGAATGTGCCAGTCTAGATATGATTGTGCTTTTTTGCTGAGAATGTCAGATCAGCTTGTTTAAAGCAGTGTAGTTTTTTGAGCTTTGTCTACACTTGGTTTTGTTCTTGGTCGTGGTGCTTTTTTTTCTATTTTGCCACCCTAGACCATAAAAGAATACAAAATTGAGATAAGATGGACAAAGGTGACTTTATCTAATCTGCAACTGCATGGACTGCTAACTCTAATTGACTCCTTGAGACTATAGACATTGCAGTTGGGCTATTCCACAGCTTCCTACAGATCAGCCAAGATCAAACCTCTCACTGCATCAATTCTTGTAAAGCACTGTGAGTTCTAAAGATCAATGACAAGCTTTCTTCTAATAGTTCAGTTCTTGACATTTAGTTCTTGACCTGAGAAGTCAGTATTTCCTTTTTAGGATAATAGGATAGGACTACCCTTGAAGTATCATGAGTACTGTTATTAATGCAAAGCGTGGTGGCAAATTTTTGTCATGGAGCCTGGATTGACACTGGAAATCTAATGTAATGTGGAAAACCCTAAGTAACTTTTAAATTGGAATTACTTTAGTCCACACTGAACTGTATTCTGATTTATATAAGATGAGCAATTGAGAATTTGAAAGAATGGGGTTTGAATAACTATTGAATAACTATTCAAGTTGGGTTTCCCCACCACTTTCTAAAATACTTATCTTGGCTGCAAGAGTGAGGTTTTCTATACTTTAAAATTACCTGGATATAAAATGTAAGTACTTATTTTTTAAACACTGTGTTTCCCAAGTTAAAGGAATAAGCATAGGTAAAGGGACTTGGACAATTGGTTCCCATTTGGGATTAGAATTTAAACTTCCTTTTGGGCTGGAAAAGTAACACTAATTTGTTTGCCATATTGAGAATGGATCATCAAGTAACATCATAATGTGTAAAGGAGTTAAAAACTACACAATATTATTACACAGTTCTTAATTCTTATTGTGTTACCTCTTCCCTCTTCTATATTTGGCTTTTTTAATGAAGAATGCAGTTTAAATGGACATTGCTTTGGATCCAGCTTCATCAAATCAAATTCTTGCACTTGCTTCTTTTGTGAAACTTTCCATCCATGCCCTTATTAATTTTTTCTCACTGTGAACAGACTGTTCAGTTTTCTGCATGTTTTTTCCCTTGGCAGCTGCAGTTCATAATATATTGTATAATATTGTAATGTCATACAAGTGACATGAGAAAAACACGTCAATATTTTGATTCTCACTTGTGTCTGAATACCTTGTATTTACTGAATGAATACTAACTTTGAGGAATATGCCTTCAATTATTTTTTAATCTGATTTCAGTAATATAAACTGAATCGCCATTTGTTGCTTTTTAGATTTGTCCTGACAAATATGATATCTTAGCAGTTTGGTTTTATGTGTTTTATTTATCTCAAATTTTTCTTCTGCTCCAGTGTTTCTTAAAAAAAGTTAACATGAAATATTGCCATATTTCACTTAATGCTTGCTGTGTGTGCATGGCTTCTAAGCTGCCATTCTTTTGGATGATATATTAGTTTTACCTGCAAGATAAAGATTGTATATACATGTGGTGTTAACATCAGTATAGTTCTTGCAATGCAATGTCAGGTAACTCAGAACATTAGCTAAGACAGAACAAACTGTACTGCTTGTTGAAATTCTTTCTGCTCTGTTGTAAAGGTTGCTAATCTCCGGAGAAAGATAATAGATCACATGTTTAATAGCTTTTTGCTTTTTCTGCTTTGTCTGCTATTTTAAAAATCTTTTAAAGTTAAGCTCATATAAACAGGTTTTACTGCGAAATTTATGGGAAGGACAAAACCCATATGTATTTACTCATTTCCTGTCATATATCCAATACTACAATAGCTGATTATTTATATTCTGTGTACTTCCTGACACAAGCAAGTAAAATCTGGAGTCATTAGCTGAATACAATGAGTACTTTGATATGGAATGGATACCAAGTTCCCTGTGTTTCTTCACCTCTCTGCATTAATCATAGTTTATTTTACCCCTGGTTTTCCTCCTTCATGTTTTCACAGAGTGTAAAGTTCACATATGTGTGCATGGCACTGAAGTCACAAGTCACACATAGTAATTTTGTGTAAAGTGTGTCAGTTGACATCCAGTAAGGGCAGGTTACAAGACGCTGTTCAGAGCTACTTCAGTACCAAACTCATTTGTGTGTTGGGGCATTAAAAAGAGCTGTTCAGAAAAAGATAGATTCCTAACATTGACACTGCCACTTCTGTTCTATATGAAAACTTCTCGCTTGTGTTTTTTTTAAATATTTTTAGAGGGCTGCTGTGATGTCAGCTTTGTTTGACAGTTCACATGGGTGTGTGGTAAAAATTATGCTAGTGTACTAGTAGCCACACTGGCCTTGTGTACACTATCAGTCCTGTTGTTTCTCTTCTAGTAAAGATCAAGTATAGAATTTGCAACATGTGTCAGACAGGAAAAAAATTGGATTTGCAAACAGGATTACAGTTCCAGTACACAAAGTTTTAAGTAAACTACGAGGTGACCATTTCTTAAATCTCTACTCTTTCGGCGTTATATTGCAGAAAGAGGCAATTTATAGTTTTACTTCAGCTTGGAGCAGCTTCTGGAGGAACACAAATGGGTAAATAGATAAAAGGTTTTAGTTTCCATCCTTGCCTCTTCATACTTCAGGAGCTTTGAAAGTTACACAACTTGAAATTTCGTGGTTCTTGCACGTATTTGTGGGGTTGGTTCTGTCAACGTAGTTCGATGGTAAGACTGATCATCTGGAGTACCAGCTTCTCTCCAAGGAAGGTGCTTTCCTCCAGGTGGGTTGCTGGTGTGTGTGAACATGTGAAGACTGCACATACTTGGCTGGACTTTCTCCCACAGCACAGGATGGAAGAGTTAGGGTGGGCAGGATCGTGTAGTACTGCAAGTAATAAAAACACTTGTAAAAGTTATTGAATTAAAGGCATCTGAGTGAAGGTACTCAGCAATAGTCGTAATAGCACAGTACAGAAAATAATTGAGTTATTGCCTCTGAAAAAACAGTGAGGAAAATGATGCACCTTTGCTGAGAATACATGTACAAGAAGGTGTTTATCAGGGCACTGTTGTGCACTGTTGTGCACTGCTCTTACACCCTGTGACTTAGAACAGTAGAGGGAGACCCAAGATGACTTGTTACACTGTACCTTGAGTTTTTTTAAATCTACTTGAGGTGTTTTCAGACAGCTCAATTACCATGGAAAAGGGTACAGGCCATATAGATGAATGCTTCTGGTAATTAATTAATGCACTTTATTCACATTATGTTCGATTGTGATGATTAACTTTTCTGGGCATAGTAGGATAGAAATTGTAATCTACAGTTTTTTGAGATATAATCAATCAAATTACTTTTAATAACTAGTCTAAGTGCATTGCTGCCTTCAAGTGTGAGAGAAAGTTACCTCTTTCAAATAAGGAAACTTGCATCTAAAAGGCACCTTTGGCTCAGTCAGCTGTGTTGATAGTTACTCAGTGGTACCTGTTCCCTGTTAAAGCTTAACCAGTTTGCTAAACTAACATCTATCTAAACCATTGAAATGTAAAGGCTTATATATTAAAAAGCTAATGCTAATTTCCTATATGTCTCATATCTTATTTTTTTCCTAGGTAAATGCCAAAAGACTTCAAAATGTTCTTTTTGTTTCCAGAAGATTCACTGTAGTTCTCACTCTTAAAATACTCAGAATTTTTTCTCTTGGTTTCCTGCAGTGCCCTAGTAAATTAACAACTTTACTCCTTAGCTGTAATACCTGTGAAAGAGCATTTGCTGTGAAAGAGCATACAGTTCTATGAAGGGGTTGGTGACTGTGTTGCTTCTGTAGCCACAATAAGGAGCAAGTGTGCAGTGAGCCATCTGTGATCTTTGTAATGCTGTTGACCAGTGTACAGAGACAGTTTGGCCCAAGTCTGAAGGTTATATTTCCTTAAGGGAGCTTGATCTCTTAAAAAATCTTAAACCTCTCAACTTCTATATAGAAAAGCATATCTTTTACAGTTAAGGCTGAAATGTATTCTTGGGGTGTGTGCAATAGGGAAATACTAAAATAATCTTGAACTTGCTTTGCCTTTTCAAGACTGGAAATTCTAGATTTGAATATGAAAGTCAGTATTGTCGTGCAGTTAACATCAGTCAAGGCTTTTGCTTTAATTACAATACTCACATCAGAAGCATTTGTTACAAACCTTCTTTTTGAGACTTTAGATTTATAGAAGTGTTGTGTAAAGCCAGCTTTCATCTTCCTGAGATTTGAACGTATTGAGATCGGCTATTTAGTATATCAGATTGCTTTGAACCTCACAAAAATACACTAATGATACCACAGAAGGGATGTAGCTGCATGCTACAGGAACAGATAAAATGTGCACGTGTGGCTTGGGGTGGGGAGAGAATAGGTCAGGTCTGGTGCCATAGGTTTAGTCCTGACAAAAAGTGCTTGCTGCTGTTTCTGTTTGGAGGAAGGTGAAATGTTTGCTCTTCTGGAGCAATCCTGTATAAACAGTGATGAGTTAAATAAAGTCCTAATTGAGCTATTGGTCTAAAGGTGTCTTGTTGGCTTGTATGCCATCCAACTTCTTCTGGACCTCCTTGTGTAGTCTGTAGTTTTGAACAGCCTTGGAACATGTCTTAATGTAGTGATGACTCCTTTGAGTGGGTGGCTGGTTTTGTTTTTTTTTTTTTAGTTAACAGCAAACTTGAATTGTTTAGTGTTGCTGACAAATGAAAAATATCCCACTTGTATTAAATGCAAGAGGAAGTGCAGCTTCTGTTAAAGTCTACTGCTAACATATCCACTTGTGGTGGGAAAGGCATTTTCCTACCACTTGTAGATTATTTATATGGGATAGATCAGTAAACTTATGAATGATACCTTTCCAGCACCCTGTCTCCCACAGTACAAAAGCACAAGCACAGTCCTACCTACAGGTGTTGTCCAAAACATTGACAATATCCCATTTTTGTCCAAGTAGTCAGCATCCGTTTTTTTGTTATGGAACTTCATCTTTTTTGAGTGAGGCTGTTGTAAAGATGAGAAAATATTAGTGGTATCTTAGTATTTTAAATATTTTTTTTTCCGCCACAGTATGGAAGCCACATAAAATATGGAGGAATAAATTCTCTTTCCCAAACCACTGAAGCAACTGCAGTTGAGAGAGCAGCTTTTGGTAATGGCTCTAACCATGTGCTTTAACCAAATAATCCCAGTGATCTATGTAATTGTTGTGGAAGATGGATTCCAAAACCATTCATAATAGGAAATACCAGCTCACGTCATTTGAACCTAAATAAGAATCCTTTTGTTTCAAATACACTGGATTTGTGCAGGAGGATATTCTTGGTTGTTATTATTACAATGCCTGTTGCCCAGTATCATAGTGATATTTTGGCATTTGTGCTACTAAGTCAAGCTGAAAGATACTTGCAGTTCTGGAAGTAGATTTTACAGAAAGCCATTCAATCAAAGCCCAGTGAATGGTTACTCAGTTTAGATAAAAGTTCTGTTTTTCTCATTGGTCAACAAATTCAATTTAAGAAAACAAAAAGACTTTTACAAGAAGAAAATAGAAGGTGATGCTAGCCTGATATATTTTTTTTTATCTTCTGATACTAATAAATCAAATCTGCAGAAGTTAATCAGGTGGAAGTAGGGCTATAATGATAATGTTAGTTTGACCAGTTGCCTTGCTTTCATCTTGGGTCCTATATTGTTTTATCAACCTCTGTTTATCAGAAGGATTCAGTCCTAACATAGATTTTCATCATAATGATACCTGTGGATAATTTTCTGCAAACTTAATTGTTTTTCAAAAAAAAGCCACAATGATACCATTCTAATATTGTGAGGTATTTTAATATGCTGAAACACCATTAAGAATATCTTTCTTAAGAGAAGATATAGCAGTTTAGTGTTTTAAACAGTTATCACAAGTAAGGCTTTGGGGAAGGAATGTTCTGCAATAAAACGTGCACGACACGTCTGTGTATCTTTGGCCTTTTACCTTTATCTTTCTTTCCGATTCTAAAGGTCACTGTTCTTTAGAACTTTTAACTTCTTTTGTTTTTGTAACAGCCACTGTATGTTCATATCTCCTTAATGATATGTTTTTATGTATTGCAAAACGAAAATCAATAAATAGCATTTACTTAAAAGGACATCTCAAAAGCCACAAAGGTAGTGGGGAAAGAATTATCAAGTTAATCACAAAAGCCTACTACCTTTACTCCTATTTTCAAACACACTGATGACCGTCTCAGTGGCTGAATTGAAAATGTATTATTAGTGTTCAGATTTTTGCATCATTTGGTTCCAAAAAATAATCCTTAAAATGGCTAATGCACCTGCTCAGGAGATGCCTCTGTATGATATAAGCTTGTATTTACAGAAGAAATGTCTTTGTTTCAGACCAAGGGAAGTATTTTCCTTTTAGAGCACAACTTTAGAAACTCAGGCCTTGATCCTGCAGGCAAGTAGGTATGTATTAAATATTAGCAATAGCAATGCCATTTGATTGCTTGCCTTCTTTTTTTATTTAAGTAGTTCAGTAATAGTTATGAAGAACAACTTGGTATTTCTTGCGTCTTATTCAGTATTTTGATTTAACTTTTCTAACAGTGTCAACTTCTCAGAACACTGATTTTTGGTTGAAATTATCTCCCTGCTGCTGCAGGATTATTTAGGAAGGTTTCTATTGCAATGCCTGAGTCATAGGTGTTTCATATTCTGAAAAGCATTTTGTTACTGAAAGCACTGCAGATAAGGAAAAAAGTTTTGATACCTCTTGTTTTTTGACTACATATTGCTGAGTACAGGTTTTATGTGTTATAAACCAACTGTACCTGTCTTGAGGCCAAATGGTGTTGCAGTCCTCTGGTAATAGCCAGTGAGAAGAACTAAATAGTGAATGGATTAATATTGCTGCTATTTAACGTATATAGTAACTACTAAGAGAAATTATTTTACAGTCAGTAATAACCCAAGTACCTCATTTAGAAGTAACTTTATACTTATTACAGATACTTCTGTAGACAAGTGATGATTTTCATACCTGTTGACATTGACTAGCAGGATTCTTGCTCTACCACCATGTCTGGTTGGCAGCTGTCTCTGTGCACAGTGTTCCAGAAACATGATGTTATTATATGATGTTATTAAACCAAATAACCATCTTGGTGTAAAACTACTTCTGGTTAAACCTGTCGGTTATAGGTAGGACTACACTCTTTGCCTGAAAGCTTGTACTAAAATTTAGATAAAAGGTTTTTGGTGATTGTTACAATCACCAAACAAAGGATGACAAATAAGACCTTTAATTATGTATCCTGTTCATTTCCCCACTTTGCCCACATGTGCATGTACTTTCTCCCACGTGCATGTTCTCTTGGCTTCTTGTTAGGTCTCACTAGCCTGGTCTCATACAATCCACTTGGATCTCCTTGAGCTGCCATTCACTTGCACATATAATTTTCTTTTAAGCCCATATGATACATTCCTCACTCTTATGTAGAATATAAATTTGCTTCAGCTACAAATTGCTTAGCTCGATTTCTTCCATCATTTTTTATTTTCCATGGAGTTCCTTTTAATACATATGCATTTGGACCAAGCTGCCTATTGATTTGGTGGATAGGTGCTGTTGCTGGTGTATTGATTCACTTACAGTGCCTGCAGGAGTTGTTGGCATGAGGATCATCCTTCTTATTCTTGCACAAGTTGCAAGCAAATATGGAATGAGTTCATCACTTCATCCCAGAGTTGTTTCAGTTTCTAAGTGTGTGAAACTGTTACTACACTGCTTGCTGTTCTACTCTGAAGATGGCTATGAATAATTCAGTTTCTTCTGTTGTAAGGTTGATGAATCAACTGCGTGTAGGAGGAGTGTAAAATCAAATATACGTATACTACGTGTAGGAGGAGTGTAAAATCAAATATACGAATAAGGGAGGGGAAAGCTTACAGTAGAAGTTAAAATTTATAATTTAAGAAATATCCTAATTTATGTAGTTCTTACTGAGCCACCTTTTCGGCAGGTAAAGGACAATATGATTGCATTTTACATATTTTAGGCATCAAGTTATTAACTACTTGCTATTTAGGATGTTCATCATCAAGCAGTACCAAATCAAAGCTGCGAAGTTAAAAGAATACACTTTGTCTCCTAAAACTTTAATGTTGGGGATATATGAAAATTCTGACGGGTAAAGTAAGTTACACTTTTGCATTATATTGCTATAATCCTTTGTCTTCTGATGCATTGCTGTCTGTTATTTCTGTAATTTTATTTGTAGCTTGAAGCTGTAGTATGGAACAGATATAAAGAAACTGTTAACTAGAGGTGGAATTAGTGTGATTTGCTTTGGATGTATAGGGCTTAAGTAAAGACTTGATGGAACTATTTGGATGTAATTTTCAAAACAGGAATTTAGGCTACCATTAATATTCAGGAATGATAGGAAGCTGAAGCTATGTCACCCTCTTAAGTTACCTTGGCCTAATGCTTGGTGATTATCATGGTGAGTGAATACTATTAATGAAGAGCGAAATATGGAATAAAAGTAATGAATATTTCTGAGGTATTTTAGGGGTACTTTAAGGTCATGTATGTAGCATCACACAACGTTTCTAGAGTAACTATTGGAAGAGGATTTTTAAAGCTGTTTTTAATTTTGTTCCATGTGTAACAAATCACTACAGATTAACAATCTATTAATAATGGTTCATTTAAAAAAACTTTAAATTTAGAATTCCTGCCTTAGTGTTTAGATTGGAGGAAATCCTTTATGTAGCATATTGTATTTCTTGTAATAGGTATACTAAACTTCAGTTGCAGTGTCTTGCAAATGTAAACCTTGCTGATGTAGTTACTGCTTTTTAATAGATCATTGACCCGTCAATCAGACTCTGACCATTTCAGAGATAAAAAACTAGGCTTTCATTGGCTTTTGGGAATAGAGCACCTTTCCACAAATTAGGAAATGGTGTAATAATTAACAGGTATAATGGATATGTGCATTCAGGTTTCAGTTGTATCTTTATGAGCTTTAGCTCCTGTTATCTGTGGTGTAGTTAACCCCCTGTCTGCCCACAGATAATTTAATTACAGTATAAAATGCTAATAGGATTGATAGATTTTTTTTGTTTATTTTTTTAAGATCTATGATGAATTGTTCTTTCAGACTTTTTATTTAAAACAAGGCCCAGAACTTCATTAACAAAACTCATTAAAATAGTAATAATTCCATTCTAAAGCATCATAACAAAGGTTCTGTATACAGTTTTGCATGCAGAGGATTTAGGTAAACTTTAATTTATTTTTCTTTCTGATTTACAGACTTAAATGATTTTAGGTACTGATGTTTCCTAGTATAGGAAGGAGTTTAGTATCTTTGACCTAAAAAGTCACTTGAAAATTGCCAATGGAGATGATTTGGTAGTGGACTTATTATGTGAACCAGAAAGTAGGCAGAGGTCACTTACCATTCCTAAGCTCTAAGTATTGTAAGAATAATGTAAGTTTTAGGTTTTGAAAATATAAATTATATTTTAGTTGAAAAAAATTCATAATTAGCATAAAGATTTAATTGCTTTGGTGTAATCATAGAAAGGCTTGGGTTGGAAGGGATCTTAAAGATCATCCAGTTTCAACTCCCCTGCCTTGGACAGGTACAACCTTTCACTAGACCACGTTGCTCAGGGCCCCATCCAACCTGGCACTGAATATACTGGCACTGCAAAATATGAATAAAGAAAGCAAATCCTAAGTTCAGAGAAGTTACAGAACTGGAAAGTTAAGGGAAACTTTCTGAATCTATATTTAACTTACTAATCTTTAAACATGACAAGAACCAAAAGAGCAGTGATACTTAAAATGAGAGGCTGATGAATTACTGTATAACTGGACTTTTACCAAGATAGAGAAATTATTTTTGTTTTAGAAAGTGTTTTCCTATTAAAGTATTGTTGACTTCTCAGTTAGCAAACATTTCACATTTTATATGCAATACTGTTACAGATGTGTTCTTATTTACCAGATATTTATTCAGAACACATTTGTATGGAGGCTCACATCTTTGAATTCATCGGTCTACTGGAAGACTGGCATAGACATCCTTCTATTATAAATTCAGTTTAATCTATCTCAGGGAAATGCAGTTGCCTAATGATACCAGTTGTCCCTATATGTTTATGGTAGTAGATTTTGGCAGTGTTCAGTTTATTTTGTTTTAGTACTGTAGCAAGACATCACTTACAATTCATACATCTTTTTCATGTCAATGCTGCCAAGGTATAAGGTGTGTTTATAAAAGGAAATACTTGGATACTCGTCTAAAAAGAAAAGTATTTTCAAAGTACCCCTTTAATATTAGTCACAGATGTGTGTTTATAAATGTAAATGTAAAAAGATGAGGCTTTTTGGAAGAAAAAGCAGAAATTTTTCAGTTATATTTGGCAGTGTCATGCCTGCCGTAACTTGAGTCCTAATTACTGCAGTTGCAATAGGAATTAGCTGGTTTAGACTATGCTGTGAGACTGTGCCAAAATCTTCCAGGTCCCCAAAATGAAATCCTCAAGGGAGAAAGGTGTAAGGGGCATAGCAGTTGTCTTTTTCAAGTATGCCAAAATAACAGCTTTGTTCAATTCAGACTCTGCATAAAGACTTTGAGTGTAATGTGTGTGTGTATATATATATATAGAGAGAGAGAGAGAGAGAGAGAGAGAAGAAAGTCTGGGGCTGTTAGGATGTGTTTACATTTACATCTTGTTGTTTTCATAAATTGGTAATGCTTTTGGTTAAAAATAGTATAGTAGTACTTGGGAATTAAAAAACAGATCTAATTTTCCAGGAACTTAATATGGGGAGTAGACAGAATTACAAACAAAAAACCCAGTGCTTATTATTCGATTCTTCAGTGATGGTTCTCCTTCAAGTCTTAACTGGTTAATTAATTGTTCAACCCTGATTATAGGAAGAATACACTTGAAATATGATACAGGATATCTCTGGAAGTAGAGTGAAGTATAGCTGCCTTTCTAGGGTCTTCCTTTATACTGAACTTCAAGTATTGAAATGGTACATTTAGCCCATGAAATATATAATTGTCTAAAGGCTTTCCTTTGTCACTCTTTCCTTTGTCACACTTTAAGCTATAAAGTGCAGAAATTTGCTCCAGTACAATATGTGAAGTCCTGCATTTTATATACAAAGTAATCTAGGACACTTGGCAGTTTTTTTATTTTAATTCTGAGTAATTTACACTATGGCATCTTAAACACTAACTTTTCTATGACTACAAATCTCTGAAAGGTCTTGCAACTCCAGGTTGTAAGATTGCCTCTAAACATACTGTTCTAATTATCTTAACTATTTAGCAGCTAAATTAGCATTCCAGTGTGCACAGAACTCAAGAATTGAAGTATTGAATGGACTCATTTAAAATGTGCTATAGAACAAAAGAGGTTGAAATGGCATAGGCTTGTGTCAGAATTCTACAGTTCAACATCTTTTTTTCTACAGAACATATGTGCACTAAATATTTTGGAATCTATTTGAACCTTTTATTCATTTGAACCTCCTTATTAAGAGTCATTCATATTGTTATACTTTAGTGTATAAGATTAAGAAAGATACCCATTTGTAAAGGCTGTAACCAAGGTAATCACAAATGAAAAAGTTACCAGTAGACTTAGATATTTTAAAATGGAAGAAATTATTTAATCTCATCACTTAGGTTACACTTCTGAAGTTCATTTAAACGAATCAAAACATTTTCTGTTTGTCACAGATTTGTTACTGAACTTGTTTTTATGTCATGTATTGAGTAGACTTTTATCTGCAGAACTTACTAACATCACTTACTTAGGGGTTCAACCTCACTATCACTTTACTTTGTCTTTTCCTTATCTGATCCATTATTTTAGTGTTGAACTGTAAATTCTGTCTTTCTGCTTATTTGTATATTGCCATTCTTTACATAACTGAAAGCTTTCACAGGTTTGAGAATTATCCTTTAAAAGTTACATTCTTATGAGACTAAATTTAGATGTACAACTACAGAAGTTTGGATACTCTGTTTTAAGCATTCATTTTTTAATGAGTATAAAACTGAATGCAGACAGTTACTGTGTTTTGTACCTTCTTTGAATTTTGCCATATCTAATTTTAGTGGTTGTATATTGCTTTTCCAGTGATACCAATAATATAACAGAGATCAGTGTTTCAGGATGTTTGTAGGTTTTCCATGTTAAGTGATCTTTAGAAATACGCAGATTTATCGACCCCTAGTGGGGTTGTGGGGAAAATGGTTGCTAATTTAATAAGTGCTAAATGAAAAATTTGCATATTTTTCGATGCTGTATTTGTTTCAATGCTCTTTTCCTTCTCTTCACAGCTGGATTAGCTCTTGAATTTTTTCTGGCATTCTCTACATCTGCAGAAGTACCTATTGCAGCAACTTCTGTTAGCAATAACACTCCCAAAACATGTAGCTAGACATCAGCATTTTAATGAACACTCGTAGTTTTAGCTGCATATTTTAAAATTATATTTGTAATTATATGGCAGAAATTTAAAAAAATAGAAGGTCTTTTGTGCTATGTAAGGTGGGCTTATTTTAAAGTAGCTAGAAAAGCTACTTCTTGAGTCGTGTGATACTGCTTAAATGAATTAAAGCAAATTCTAAATCACCTGCTCAAATTTCACTGACCTCTTAGTGCTTATTAAATAATTATAATTTATTAGTAGTAGCCCAAACACTTCAGTTTCTTAAACCAATCACTTAATATAGTGGTTGTAAAATAGCCTGTAAAATATTGCATTACTAGCAAACTTTAATTTTAAATGGCTCTAGTGTTTTTAATCATTTAGTTGAAACTCTAATTTTCTGGGAGATGAAATTATCTCCTGTGAAAGTTTCTTACAGGCATTTATTTCACATGAATTAAAATCAAAGTACTGAATAATGAATTCACATACGACTGTTGAATTAGCAATAATAAATGAAGATAAATAGCTCGATAATTAAACTTAATTTTAACTTCACTATGATGTGTTTCCCAATATCAGAATCAGAAACTAGGGAGTACTGTAATTTATTTTTCTATGCAAGTTTGACACAAGAAATAAATATTAAATATTTTTAAAATAACTTCCATTTTTTTAGATATTGTACATTTATTTTTATAGGCTTTAAGTAGTAAAGTAGTGTTTTTACCAGTTAAACTGTGAAATGCTCCTTTGAATTTTATGTATTTTTAAAGTTGTTAAGAGAAAGTAAAATATTTTTTTTGCATTTGCTAATATTTATTATTGTGCTTATTGCATAAGCCACATTATTTAAAGTCAAACTTGCACAGCAGTCAGACATGTCAAAAAGACCTCAGATTCATGTTTTTGTGGGAGCACCCCATATTCCAGGCCCACTGGACGTGTTAGAGCAAAGTAGTTCAGCACCTACTGCTGAAAAATGGAGAGAGCTGCACTATTTGTGTGATGCACGTGGCCTTTTTTCTGAAAAAGTCCAAGGTGCTGCTGACCCCTCAGTGTTCCAGGCAGGAAACTCCGTAGTCAGAGCAGTTCCTACAAGGGATGGCAGCGCTCAGCAGTCTGAACAGGGAAGGTCAGTGGCAGCAAAAGAATGTTTGACATCTCTTGTACCCGTGGCAGTAAGTTGTGCCAGCACACCTAAAGAGACCAAAAGTTTAACTTATTCTGACTGTCAGATATCTAAGGATAGATACACACCTGCAAATGTAAATCAGGCTGCAGATCAACACCTTCCACAGAACTTTACAGAATCAGCTGGACAAGACAAACCATCGCGTGGCTGCTGTTCAGACCTCACGGAGAGCAAAGCCGGTCGTTCGGAAGTGAACAGCGCCGACATTTCCGAGTTGGTTGCCAGTACGAAGCAGATCAGCATAAATCTGTCTGTGGGACTGCAGTCAGGTGACAGAAGTGATCATCGTGAACATCTAGGCCAATATCTGGATACGGTTTTCCGAAAAAGTCAAGGGTCAAAACCGAAAGCACCAAACGGTTGTTCGAACTTCGCAGTGTCAGCAGATACTGAGTTTCGCAGTGTAGTGACATCAAGTCAGATGGCTGTTCTTGCACAGGAGCAGAGTGAGATGCTGGAAAGAATCATAAAACTGTCAGAAACAGAAGCAGGAAAAAAACCTGAAGAAAGGCAGTATGATCACTTCCAATTTGATTCTGGTGTTGGAACGTGTACTAATGTGGCGGAAAATGAATATAAGGAAGACTATACAAATTCTCTTGATCTTTTCAGTTCTGAGGATGATGGGGAAAATGTTTGTTTTGAAGCTACAAAACAAGAAGGAAGTGCTCAGGAAAACATAGGGAAATTACAAGAAATTGAAATTCCTGCTGAGCCCTTGGTAAATGAAATCCATATTGAACCACTGAGCTCTGGAATATTGTGCTCTCAAGTAGACAGTTCTCATAAGAACTCTTCTAAAAGACCCCGCAAGTGTGAAGATTCCTTTCATCTTTTTCACTCAGCATTTAAAAGGCAGCTGGTATCCAAGAGAGCTAAATTGAATTCTTCTCCACCTGGTCCTGGTACTAGAGTGGATCAAGAGAGGATGACAGAGTTCAAGAAACTTCAGAAGAAACTATCATCACTTAAGAATTGCTGCTGCAAAAATCAAAAGTACAATGTTTTGGTCACAGTAGTACATCCTTCTCATATCAAAGAAATACAAGTAAAGACTAGACCGAAATCTCCATGTAAAGTTCCTGTAGCAACAATTGTTGTTATTGACCAGTCAGAAACTGAGAGAAAGGTGGTGCTGTGGCGTGGTGCTGCATTTTGGTCCCTCACTGTGTTTCCTGGGGATGTTGTGCTGCTTACAGGTGAGAGTTCTTTTATTTGCATTTTTAAAATGTGGATCTTTAAAAGTATTAAAGTAGAAGTTTAAAGTAGCAGTAGAAGTTTTAAACTTTTATTTAAAGTAGAAGAATATGTAACAAGTAATTTGGAACTATGGCTAAGCATTTTTGAGTATCTTTCTTGCATCACTTGCATTGTTCAGCATCACTTTGAACTCTCAGTCATGCTGCCAGTGGAACACTGGCTGTCCCATAGAGGTTTGCCCACAGACACAGCCATGCCTTGACACTACAGCAGTGCCATGGGTAGTCAGATGTATTCTGGAAGGTGTCAGTGTCTTACAACAGTTGTTCTGGAAAAGTACAAGTGCTACTGCAAAGCAGATGTGCTAGTTGTTTGACTCATAGACTTCTTTGTAACTCTGCTGTTGGACCAGCAGGTAGACCAAAAACTGTGAAGTTGAGTCTCAAGATGGGAAATATTCTTCCTCCTGTGAAGGACTTTGTAATGTAGCAGTAACATCTTGAGATGGATCATGTTGTGAATTGGTAACCAACATAGACTGCAGAAATACAAAATGCTGTTTGTAGTTTACCTCTTTCATAACATGTCAACTAATAATGTAGATTCCTCTTGATAATTCCTTTGTACTCTTTAGTACCTAACAGGAGAAAACCCTCTCTTCAAGAGAACACATTTTGTGAGCAAATGCAATACTTCAAAAACAATATTGCACCTAATTTGGGGCCGGAGTGGCCCAGAACTTGTTAGTGATCCAGCCATTTAGGTTTGGCAATATGCAAAAAAGTTAAACAATATCAAATTGTTTGAATACTTCCACAGTTTAAGGTGCCTATTTCTCTTTGTTAAGAGTTCTTTAAGTGCTCAAAGGTAGATATTTCAAAGAAATTAAAGACAAGTTGTCCTTTTTCTTTTCTGCTTAGACATTCTTATTTCAAAATATATTAAAAGTGTTTCTAGGTAAGCCTAGTACTGTACTAATTTTGAAGTTTTGTACAATAATAATTTATCCAATATGGTCACCCACTTCACTTAAACAGTGCCTGCTAGGAGGCTAATGAATTTAGGAATTACATCAAACTAATGAGAAAATATGGTACACTTCAATATTGTTGATACATGAGCTGATAAGGTTGCTTTTTGTTGCAGATATAACAATGTATGAGAATCTTTGGTGTGGAGAAATCATGCTTCAATCTACATTTACCAGCCAGTTACTGAATCTGGGGAACTGCTCAACTCTCAGTCCAGAAGAATGTAAGATTATAGTGCATAAGTTTCCATGAAAATCACAGTAAAATAGCTATTTAAAGTATTCTGTTTTGCTGGCAATGCCTCACACATGGAATAAAATGGAAATATGTGCAACTGAGAAGTACAAAACACTATAGAAAAGTATGACAGGAACACCTGTGGACAATATGTGGACATAATGACATCAGATAGGCATGTGGAGTTTATGGTAAAGTTTGGTGGTTACTGCTCAAAACTCTGAAAAATTGAGTTCTGTGAGTTCAGTTTGAGAAAGAGCAGTTATCCCAGGACTCGACCATTTGATGTCTGAAATTGCACAAGGATTAAACTTTTTGCAAAAACTTCAGAGGCTTAAAGAGTAAGTAGATCCATCCAGGGAAAGTAATTCATTATGGGAGACTAAGGAAAAAATACAGTGGAAGTACCACCATGATTGCATTGTTCTTACTGTCTTTGTGATGTCCATTATTGCCAGCTGTTTGAGGCAGATTCTGATGTAAATGGTCAAGAACAGCTATTCTTCTTACCAAGCTATGAGACAAGATTTCTTTGCTATATTTAGTGTAATTTAAAGTATTGTACTTAGCTTAGCTTCGGGATGTTATCAAGAGGAGGCAAATGAAGTACAGTTTAATTTCAGATCGTGTTACACATCTCAGGGTTTTCTTGCCTTAAAATTGTTCTGAAACAGTTTTGATTTTGTGAGTGTAAATATGTTCCAAGCAGTAAGTTTTATACTTCTAAGCATGAAGAATAGTATGTAATTTTGACTTTTTTTTTCTATAAGTTTATCCTTTAGGGGATTACGGTGTTCTCCGTGGCTTGTTGGCATACATATCATCAGAATTTCCACACTTCAGAGACATTCCACGAAGACAAGTTCAGAGACTGGATAGTGTTCAGTACATGCAGCTAGATCAGCTCCAGCCAAACACATTGGTGCACTCAATCCTGAAAATTATCGACATTGCTGTATTAACAGGTGAGTTCATGCACTGGACTTCAGCTTCTGCGTTGGATGAAACTTAAATAGTAATTTTGCAAGGCAAAATGTTCTCAGTGCTTGACTTCAAGCTTTGCACATGAATTTGATCATATTGCACTATCAACTTGTATTAGTAAGATTCAAACTTTTACCCACACTGTCAATATCATATTTATTCATTATAAGTGGAGAATTTTGAAGATAGAAATCTTCATAATTTGCTATAGTATGTAAATCTCATAACTGTTAGATATTTAATGCAAGAGGTCTTGTTGAAAAATTATTTTTTTTATTAAGGATACTGTAGTTTTAGTGTGGAACTAAGATAGGCAGTATGCTGGGTAAGAGTCACGTAGAGATCTTAATTGTTTCAGTTTATATGTACTGTTCCTAATACTTGTAGTGTGCCTTGTACATGACTGTGGTTTTCTTTTATGTGAAGACTTCTCGAGAAGTGTTTTTTTCAGTGTATTCCACAGAAGTTACAGGAACTTTAACTTTCAGTTATGACAATCAGTTGCTGAGAGGTTGAGTAAAATTTGTTTCTGCTCAATACAAGCCAGGATGAGTGGGAGCTGAAAGATGCTCACATACCTGTTTTTTCAGAGGGGGTGTCCAGCTGCTGAGTATTTAGGTGGATAAAAGTAACTTAATCTACTTTATGCACTCCTTCAAACTAGATTCATGTTGCTGAAGAAATCAGATGGTTTCCTGTCCTGAAGAAATTGTAGGTGTATTCTTCTTTCCTTGTAATTGCACTGTAAAATATGATAGCAACATGATTTCACCTTAATACTGGGGTTACATGCTTTTTACTGTAGAAGTAATGTAATTTCAATTTTTTCAGAATCTGTGTATAGCTACAAAGGTGGCAGGCAGAGAAAAATTATTTTAACAGTAGAACAGAACAGAGATCAACGCTATAGGATGGTTCTGTGGGGAGCAGGGGCTGCCTGGTGCCCTCAGCTTCAAAGGAAAAAAGGTAAAGTCCTTGTACCTGCTGGTTGCTGTAGAAGGATTTTTGTGATGCTGTTAATATCTTTAAAATGTTCTGCTGGTAACATTTGCTATTCAACCTTTAAATACTTCCCTTGCAAGGGTAACATATCTGATAGCAATTCTAACATGTCTACTCTGTTTAGGAGCAATGCCATCAGCAGCAGAATTTGAATGCACTTACCTTAGAAGACCGAGAAGACATAAATATTTAAAAATTTGAATCTAGAGACAAGATGCACTAGTGCCTGGTTATCTAACTATTAAAAACCATGAGTGTTAACTATTACCAGTTTTGCTGGGTCTTCCTTATCGATGTCAAGTTTAGCATGAATTGCTGTTTTTTTCTTCTTCTGATGTTCATTCTCTGCTTTCCACCTTGCTGCAGTGTCAGGCTTTATATCCGAATGGTCTTGCAGTCTAGTCTGGCTGTAACTGCCTAAAACTATCTCTTGCATTAATTAATTAATTACATAGCTTGTGTTTCAGCAGTGACTGACTTACCAAATTCTGACTTTTTCCTGGCTTTGTTCTTTAAAAATAAGTGAAAGTAGGTTTTTGTTAAATTGATAACTTCAGTTTATGCTTCTGATCAATGAATACACTTAGGAAGTAAATGGTGTATTACTTGAAATGCTGAATATGCCTGCCTAAAAAGCCAGTTTTCATACAGTACAAGATAAAATCCATAAAGGTTAAACAACTTCATAGTGAATCTTTACCTGTTAAATTCTGACACTCTGAATTCTGCCAGTTCTACTTCAATTTATAAGTAATCTCCATTCCTGGAAATCATTTTAACTGCAAGACCTAACCTTTTAAACTACTTGAAGAAAATGGTCCAATTCAAGCAATAACTTTTCTATGTAATGCCTACATGGCTCTTATTTTTGTGCATGCTTGAGTGTTAGCAGGTGTATACTGTTTGTTAGGTGCTTAGAAATCTTACAGAATTCAGTCATCTAGAATATTACTTTTAAAAATATAGAATTTGATTTTTTTTGGTAGCTGCCAAAAGAGGATACCAAAGGTAATTTATTAGACACAACAATATATCATTCTCTGATGCTTAGAATGGAAAAGTATAACATGTAGATCTCTGTAGTATTGTTTGTGTTTGTAAACCTTGTGTCTTATTCTCTAGCTAGTGTTCTGTGCATCTGGCAGTTGGCATTTTTATGATTAAATGATTATTTGAAATTCAAGATGAGGGATTGTTCAAATACTTAACTGTGTACAAACCATGAACATTTGATTCCAGTAAGATAGCCAAAAAGATAAATTCACAGGATACTAGAGCATACACAGTACAGCAGCTAAATAGTGTGAGTGGGCTACAGGAGAACCACGATGTCCACAAAGTCCTTGGCAGGAGTTGTACCACAGCTCTGCTATGTGTTTACTGGTTGTATGAGCAGATTAGGAACTCCTTAGTCTTGTAGAGGAAGGTATGGAGACATCTAAATATCATTTATTTTTCATCTCTTGCTAAAAATCAGTTTGGACTTCCAGTACACAGTCATCAGACATTCAGTTCATGATTTACACTCACCTGGTTTAGATTGCCAAAAAATAAAGATGTATTTCATTAAATACATTTCTGTAAACTTATAGTTTACTCACGTTTCTGATAGATTTTTAGTCAACAGGGGAATGTTGAAGATGTCAGTAATAGTTTAATTCAGGTGTCAGCCAAATCTTGTTCCCTAGTTAGACTCTGTCCCTTATTTCCATGTATCCCCTCTTGCCAAGTGTCTGTTTCCTCCTGTTTAGATTTTCCCTCGGGGTTGCTGTAGTGTTACTGCCTGAAACATTCCTTTGGACTGAAGCGTACTCAGTTCTTGAGGGCTGCAAGATCTCTAGTCAGATATGAGGTGCATGAAACTAGATGAATGCTCAGACAATTTTTTGGAAGTATTTCACTGTAAAACAGTGCATCTGACAGTGCATTTTTCATGGGCCTGAAGTTGTAGCATGTTACCACCAAAAATCAGACTCTAATCCAAAATAGGAAAATGCTAAAACTTGTAAGTGACCTTGGCTTGCTTTAAATTAGCCACAGCATAAGAAAATAAACTCTTCTGTTTGCTTTTTTTGTTCAATAGATCACATATGGGACTTCAAATACCTTCTGGTCCAACGTAGTTCTGTCTCAGGTGACTTGGAACTGCACACAACTCCATGGTCATCCTGTGAGTGCTTGTTTGATGATGACAAAAGGGCAATTGAATTTAAAGAAAAGTTTCAGAAAAGCCAAACATCCCTCATGCAGTTGACAAAGCTCTCAGCACACTTGGAGGAAAAATGCTCAGGTAACTGTTATCCGTAGTTCTGTAGTCTCTTGTGCAATGCTTAACTAAGCAGAATAGATGCTCTGTTGGTGAAGTAAAATGCTTATGTTTTAAGGTAGCACAGCTTTGGGAGTCTGAATTTATTCTGGAGGCTGCTGCTCACTACTCAACCAAACTGATGCAGCCTTCATCTCATGAACCCAGTGGTGAGATAGGCGGGGTGTGTGGTACCATACAAAGACAGCTTTGGAACATAGGGAGAAATGCTGACTTTAGTTATCCACTCCAACCAGCCTTGTAATTAAATGATTAATCACTGAAAGCTTGTCAAATAGTATTTCTCCAAAACTAGAACTCTCTAAATCAAGAGTAAAATAGCTACTGCTATTGAAAACTTCTTACAAAAGAACAAAGAAAACATTTTACACAGTCACCTCCTCCCAGATAAACCTAAAAGATTGCTAGGTTGGTGTTAAATTATAGGAAGTAACTAAAGTTGGTGTTGCAGCATTTAACTGTGGTTTATGTTAAAATACAGGAAAGCTAAGTTGTTAAAGCTGTGATTTTCAGTGTCTCTGAATTAGTGGAAAGAAAATCACTTGGAAATTATCTGCACAATTTTGTTGTCTTATTCAGGCACTTCTGTAGAGGCATCTACGACAATACTACCTGAAAATGTAGTATTAAAATGTACTTTTATACATTTTAAAATAGTATTTAACCACAGTGATTTTTCCTTACATAAAATATCTCTAAAAATATGAGCATGTGTTACTAAAGGGAAAAAAAGGCAGAAAGTTTTATTGATAGTGATGTTGGTTTTGAATCAGCTGCAGCTCTTGCTTTTGCTTTCAGTTATAAATAAAACTGAATTCATATTTGATTGAACTTGTTTTTGTAGGAGTGATTCAAGTGAAAGCCCATATCTTAGAATTGAAGTTTACCATTTCAACTGGTCAGTACAAGCAACTCATCTTCTCTGCTGACACTTCACTGGAGTGTGTTTTGGCTTCTCTGCCTATGATTACATATTCAGGTTGTGCCAAATGTGGTTTGGAACTGCAGGCAGATGAGAACATGATCTACAAGCAATGTATTAGATGTTTGCCATACAACAAAGTAAAAAAATTCTACAGGTAAACAAAATAAAGCTAAAATACTATTTACTATTAGGGAAGTAAACTGCAACTTTCTCCATTTTAAGTTCCCCTATATATAAAATTCTTTATTTAAGGTGTGGTAAGCAGTCCTTGTCTTTCTAAGTGAAAGTGAATGTTCAAAGAGTTTTTCCTGAATTGCTGTATTATACTGTCGTTATTTGTGTGTGATATTCTTAGTTTAAATTGTAACTTTTTAATTTCTTTGAGTACTATGTCATACAGAAATGATGTTTACCCAGTACTGCGTGAGATGAAGCTAAGATGGAGTAGAAGCTTGAGGACCAAAGGAAAACTTAAGAGTCCAGTCTGAGTTTGAAATCGTGTGAATGCAGAACCATATTTTTAAACTGAATAATCAGTTTTGGCCTTGCAGAAATAACATTGATAAATGTTTTCAATCAGCATTCTCAGAGAGCAGAAATACTGAGTTATCACCAGATGGCACTGTGAGACACATACATTCACACTTAGAGAAAATAAACTAAGCCTATCCAGTTGATGTAGGAACATTGTTATTAACTAATTGTTCAATTTTTAAATTTATCTTGGGCTTTCAAAATGTATCACAGTGACTTAAAAGATGTGTAGCTAGAGAATGTTAACTGAGACGGTCATGGATGTAACAGAATCGTAGAATATGTAAATTTTCTATCTAAATTCTTTCTCAAATTCTTTCTAAACTCTTTCATAGTGAGTTTAATGAATCATTGACTTAAATACTAATATCCTCTTTATCTAACAAGGTAGGGAATTAGTATTTTTCCTCTAAGCAAAATGGTCTTGCATCTTTAAGTTTATATGCTGTTTGTTTTCCTATCAGGGAGGATTAAGTGTGAAGAGGTTTTTTTTCTTAACTGGAAAGGTTCCCACGCTCTTTCATAAGATTATAGACTCTCAGTGGGCCTGAAGGACCTCAATTTGCTTCTTCACAAAAGGTGGTAGAAAAATGATGGATTTGTGATGTTTGTACTCTCAGCATGTGAACACAGCTGGTGGAACTTCCATGCCCAACTTTTTCAGAGAAAAGCCTGTCATTTTTACACTGAAATTTTGCTCCGATTAGATTAATAAGAATGTATCACCTTAGTAATATTTCCAGTGAAGGATTTTTTTAATTTGTTTAGTGGTTTGTGAAATCATTTGGTATTTGTCATGGTACAAGTGATGTACCCTGGTATTATGTGGCTATAAAGTGATGTATTAAGACAGATTATATTGGGTGATGTTGATACAGATGATACAATTCCAAATGATCCACCTAAGCTCATCTCCCTACTTTGCATTTCAATATGTTATGTACACATTGTATATTTGTAGGTACATATACTTAGATATAAACATTTATACTTAAAGTTCAGAGCCATAAGTAACACTTATAAATAACAGTGCATTTCTCATTGTCTTCCAAGGAAGACAAGTCATAAAGCATTTTTTTCAGCAGTTGTCTTAAAGTAAGGCTTACTTTAGAAGTTACTTTAACATTGAGTAGTAAATTCAGTATATACACCTCAAACTGATTCCAGTGCTACAGATTTGACAGATGAGCGCATAGAGGTTTTCTTGGTTTTAGAGTTCTTGGTGTTATGTTGCAGAGTAATATTAAATTGTCTTACTTTCAGAAATTTTGCTTCAATAAAAAACCCAAAATGTAGCAGCTGTCTTTCAAGAGACTTTTGTTTTCTGATCTAGACCTGCTCTGATGACAGTAGAAGATGAAGGATATGAAATTTATGTTCACGTCGTGTCTGAGTTGATGGAAAAAATCTTCCTCAATATTCCTGCAGACTGGCTGAACAGATTACTAGGTACTGTTTCATGAATTATTTATGATAGAAACGGGCAGCAAATTGACATCGGAATCAAAATTTTTAGTTACTGACAGTTTAAAAGAAAAAACAAGCCAACAACCAACATCAGAGAATATTTCAGTTGCTGTCCGAGAAAGAAGTTCAGAGTACAGGTGGCAGCTACAAGAGGCGAGATGCTGTGAACATTTACTATATAACTAAATAGGTGTAACTATATAGCTAAATATTCAATAGCTAAATGGATTCCTTATAGGCAAAATAGAATCTTTTAGCAGTTTTTATAAATAGCTGACATGCTTTCAAGATGTGAAACGCTGAGAAGTGGTTCAGACAAGCTTCACTTGATACATCCTATTTGACCTGAGAGGCATTTTATGTGATTCACAGATGTTAACAGTTTATGAGAAACAGGCTCAGCTCATTGTTTTTAAAACATAATTAAAAATAAAAGCTAATTTTCTACTCAGATGTTGAACTGCATTTCCAGTGATTCAGTGGAGCTTTTATGGAGGTAGAACTTGAATGCTAGGTGCTATTGTGAAAATCAAGTGTAAATTGAATTGTTGTCTTTTGCAGTGCCCTCCTCAGATATAACCTACAGCACAGTAGTAGCAGATCTGTGTCATTCGCTGCTAACAGATACAGAAGCATCCTATTTGTTGGAAATCAGGAGCCATTTTGTGCTAGATGAGAACAGCTACCCTTTGCAAAAGGATTTCCATCTGCTAAATTTTCATCCTGATCTTTGAAGTATTGACCTCTGCGGTAACTGAGTAACAAAGACCGTAAGAACACACAGATGGTAATCAGAAGAAAAACGAGTTAGGTGAAGGAAGCAAATATTTTTTAAAAAATTACAATAAAGGACTTTAATCTTAACTTATGAAAAAAGCAAAACCACCTAAAGGACTGATATGGAATATGTGCTAATAGTATATACTACTGCTGTAATACTGGTGAATTGTCATAAAGTATATTTTTATACCTGTATTTTTATCTTAATAAACTCTTCCTGGGTATGTGTTTGCCTTTTTCTCCTCAGAAAAGTTCACTACAATTGAGAGACTGAATTTTCCTCAGATCTGGAAGATTAGAGGAAGGCAGACAGAATTCAGTAATATTTTAGTTATAAGATTTTTGTTTGTCTGATTCTGTATGCTATCTGTGACTTAGTTATGTCTTTTGGTTTGATGTTGTGGTTGGTTGCTTGAGCATTTTGAGTTTAGTAAGACTCGTGAGAAGCAGTCATCAATTGCATTAGAGAAACCCTAAAGATTGTTTTATATCCTGTCAATGTGTAGTCTCAGTGGGTTGATTTGATGCCTTGGGGCAGAAGTCATGCCCTCTGGATTGCTGAGCTCTGTGTGGGTAACCACCAAGTTCCATCTACTGGGCTTAGGTCTCTCCAGCTGCCAGGGACCCAACTGCCTCATTCTCTTCTCAGGGTTTTGCAGATTGCCCCTCTGACTCGTGTTTAACAGCATTCCTTCTTGAAATCCAAGCTGCAAACATGATGCCATAGTTTGGTTCCTATCTTCATTTTAATAATTCTGTGTAAAAGTTATAGGTCCTGCTGCCTTGTGTTTACTACTCCAGACTTTTCTCCCTACCTTTCAAAGAGGAAGTCACTTTACTTTCTGTGCCTGGCACAGATATTTCTTCTGAAGGAGCTCTCTGATGCTCTATCACCTGCGGTGCATCTTTCTCCCCTTCGGTTTCATCAAGCTGCTGCTTTCAGAATGTTTAGGAGCAAGTGATTTTCATATCTGGTCTCTCATTTCCTTAGAGGAAGGATAGATGAGTGCAGATGGCAGTGATCATTAGGCTTTCTAAAAGAATAGTATAGATATCATTGTAATTGGGAGAAAGAGGTAAGAGTGATCCAAAAAGGATTTATAAATAAATACTCTGCTTGAGTAGTGGTAGGGCTTCTCCAGGATCCTGTTCCCTAGATCAAGAATGTCACCATTATTCGTGTTTGTTCTACAATGGTGGTGAATTGCTGCTCACTGTCATCAGATGGGGTTGTACTTTCATGAACTTATGTGCTAGATTTATTGCAGAGCTTGAGAAATCCCTGTACTTGTCAATAGTAATGGGAAGAATTGAGGAAGCTGTCACATTTTCTATGATCTTGCATTTATTTGTTGTATGTTTCTTGGGGTTTTCTGTGCTATGCATCTTTGTAAAAATTTAACATTTTTTAGAGGAAAGGTACTTCTGGTGGGCACTGAGCAGTCTTGTAATCATTCCTCTTCCTTCATCTCAATTTAAGTCTCAAGCAGTAGGTAAAAATAATTGCTACATAGTTTGACAATAATACTGTATTGTAGCTCCTTATAATGTCTCTTGCTTTACTCAAATAGTTCTTGTTCAGGAAGAGTCAAAAAGGGTCTTTCTCATTTACTTCACTTGGATTGGCTGGTTAGTGCATTTAAATATGTTTCCTCATTACTTTAGCTGGAATTATTGAACATACAAGCTGGAAGCATTGTTACTTTAATATGTAAGAAGCACAAAGGAAAGAGAATCACATTAGTACAGTGCATTTTTTAATTACATGGACGATACTGTACATCAAGTCAGACGACCTGTTAATAGGGACTGTACATTCCATGCATATTCCTGCACAAACTAGTAAACCAGCTGTCTGAAACATTACTAACAGGTTGCTTTTAAGATCTTTATTGATATTATTTAAGTAATGAAGGAAAAAATTTCTTCCATGAAATTGTTTTATTATATTAATGTAAAGTGCATAACTGTACAGTTTTCCTTCCCAGATCAAACATGTTGCTTATCAGATTGGTTTACGGTAGTTTTGTAGGACTAAAATTTGAAAACAGCTCATTGGGGTTGAGGGTGCTGGTGTAACTCGTTTAGCCAAGATATAATTAGGGTTGAGCACTTTGTATAATTCAGTTTTAATGTAATGCATCTAGGCTCATCTTGTATCCAGGGGTGCAGTTAGCAAGACAGACTGAGGGTACCATGTAACATTTCAGATGGTGGATCAGGGAAGTCTGTTATCTTACAATTACTCTGTGATATCTTCTCATTCATAATATTTCCTTTAGATAATAACAATATTATTGAAAAGGGAAAGCATTCTCATCTCTCCAAAGAAGTCTCATCTTTTTAATATATTTAATTAATTACTATTGTATCCTGTTTGAAAGGAAGTTGGTTTTATTTCAGCTGTAGAGATTATGATCCTCTTGGAACACAGTTGTACAAAATATTTTGTTGCAGTAGTCAGTCTGGCTGGCTTATGACTGTACAGTGTGAAAGGCACAGAGTTCAGGTCCCCAGTGAACAATCAAGAAGAGAAGAATGTTCTATTTTATTTTGATTAAGAATAATTGCTCCAAATTACTTTATGGAAGAGTAATTTACTTAACAAAGATAACTCTACTGCTAAAACAGATATATGCCTTGGGGGCTTAAGCTAATTGGATTTTCAATGTTAGAATGGTCATACCAGGTCAAACCCAAGATTCTTTAAATCAGTGCGCTGTCTCCAGCAGAGACATGTTTAGAGGGAAATATAGAAGGGCAGGACAGGTCCTTTTCTTATGTTCTCAGAGTATTCCAATACTCATGGAAACCTCCAGTCACTTGTGACTTCATGACTTCTATGCTTGTGCCAACACAGAGTGGTGTATGTTGGGGTCAGGTGAAAACATTGAACTGCAAGAAATACACTGTGCTGAGGGAAACAGGTGCTTCTGGGTTTCTGACCCATAAACAGTTCCTTCCACCCTTCCTAATCAAAAGAGGTTTTAAATATAATGCTGCTATTTTGAATAAACTGTAAATTTATTAGTTGGGTTTGTCAGTTTTGGCATCTTACTGGGCTCCCACCCTTTTTGGTGAAGCCACTCTGCCTGTGTTAATGCAATGTATGGGCAGTTAGGCCTGGTGTCATCACTGAAAATTTTTAGGTCATTTTGGATTCTATCCACATGATGGGTGATCATTTGTGCACAGAACTCATGACCAAGAAGTGGAACTTACTAATCAAAATAACTAATACTGGGAGATCGTGTTTGGCTTTGTGTTTTGTTTACTCTGCTGTGTGTTATATAAAGTGAACATACATTTTGAAAAGGGAAGAGTTCCAGCCTACCAGGGACCAAATCTTTTATTTTTGTTTGGTTAAGGAAATAATTCAATTCTTTTATTATTGTCTACTTAGAATACAAAATCTTAGCAAATATTTTTGTACCCTTTAGATAAGAAAGATAGTAAGAGCTTTTCCAATTTAAGGTTGGTTTTTTTATCAGTACTGCCTACATGCTGTGGCAGAGAGCATGCCATCGTTTAACCAGCTCCTTGGGCTTGCTGATCATTTCATTCCAGTGTTCAAGTTCTTTGCCACGTGTGTACATGAAAGGCCCAACTACTACTCGTCCTAGCAGAAGTGTTTCTAGGAAAAAAAATAAGCAGTTAGTAATGAAATCCTTGCCTAAATTTGCATATTAACTTATATTTCTCTGGGTTATGCATATTCTGAAAGTCACTAAACCAAAATATTTGTCAAGGAATTCATGCTGGATTTCAGGTTCTGTAGTTTCTACCTGCTGAGACTCAGGTACTGCAGTAAGTGTGTACTTAGTCGATGCAGGCCTGCACTTAAACTAGACTGTGTTCAAGGCACAAAGATCTCTATCTGCCCAGCTCCTCTACCTGAAGTTTACTGTGGAAGTTTGCCCTAGTTTTGGGCATCAGCACCCTCAGTAGGATTCATATGGTGCTCTGGCTTGGGAATGAATAAATGTAGTTACTGAGACAGCTTGGAGGCACAGTATGTGGACTGCCACTGACCACCCTCTGCCAAGGAGCAAATTGTTTCTTCACACCTGGACTTTTCAGCTGTGAATGGGGGAAATGATTCGAACTTGTCTGGCATGAACTTCAGAATAGTTTGTAAAGCATTTAGCTGTCTGTGAGTGAAAATGATGAAAGACTCAAGTGCTGATTCTAGTTCTCATCAATCCTCAAAGCCAAAGTACCTCCCCAAAATCTCACCTAAAGGAATTTTCTTTAGGAGTGTGTGAATCTAAATGAGGCTGTTAATGTTACATTATCAAGATCATATTTGCACTGCAGGGAAGACGTTCTTGTGAGCAGTGGAAATATTGAATTCTGATTTACTTCTCCAAGTGGAACTCCTTAGAGAATCCTTAATGGATTCTTGTAACAATTAGTAAGAGGTGGCCTCACGTATCAAGTTTTCTGCCAGGGAATGGGGATGTTGCTAATCTCTTTCTTCTTTCTCACTGCATGAACTGCTGGGATAATTAAAATTCCTATCACTTTCAAATTTGGTTAGCTAGAGTGAATGGCTTCAAAATTTTGGAGGTTGAGGATTACCCACAAATGTTCACAGAATAATTGCGTAAGCTTGTTTTAATAGGATACTGAAATAATACAAAAAAAAGTTCAGCACCTTGTACTGACAATGACTGGTCTGTGGTTATTTTATTCACCCTCTGTTAAATTTATCTTTAACCTCTGAAGGAGACATATGCTTAACTGCAAATAAGTTGTTCTGCTTTTTGAAGAAACAGCCTGTGAAATACCCCAAAAATCTTATACGTTTTATGATTATTGCTGAAAAGGAATTAGTTCCTCCCAGGTTTAAACATGTCTCCAGTTTGTAAGAGATTTATGACAACTTGACTGTAATAATTTATGTAGCTTACTTTCTCCCTTGATACTCTGGAGCACAGATAGACTCAGGCTTGCTGTATCCAGCTCCGTCTGATCTGCCTTGAAACTGAAGGTTTCATTATACACTGGATTGGCAGTTCCCAGAACAGCTGCTGTCTTTTTACTTTTGATGAATTTGTTATGGTTCATCAGTGAGACTTTGACGTACACACCTTGGAGAAAAAGAAATTCAAGAAGAAAAATACGTGAGAAGCAGTTGGGAGATGGCCTAAGGAATTTCTTCCCTTCAGGATTCAATATCAGGTATCAAATCAGATCATGAGGGATTCACATGACAGCATGG